GTGTGTGTGTGTGTGTGTGTGTGTCTGTGGAATAGTCAAGGAGTTACATTTCACTTTAACCAGGAGTCTGTAATAGCTGTAAGTCACGTAATGGACACACACGCACACGCACACAGTCAGAAATAGAAAATCCAGTGGGCTTAAGTCGTCATTATGAAGAAAAAGTGAAAGTATAAAAAAACGAATGAAAGGGGTCTCTATTCTCTCCATCCCTCACTCGCTTTTTCTCTCTCCCGCCCACGTTTGGAAAATTCCATGTTGTCATTTGCTAAGACGAGATGCCCTGTCATCCAATGAGATTTCAGGATAAAAGATTCGGGGAGGAGAAGGATAGGGCAAAGAAGGAGAGAGCGAGAGCGATGGAGGAGGAAAGGGGAGAAGGGAGTGGAGGAGACAGACAGAGAAAGGCTTTGAAACCCGTAGTTATAATCGGCTGTTAGGCAGTGTAATGAAACAGCTGTCAGACACATTTCACTTTCTTTTTCTCTCTCTGTTCTACAGTTGTCGCTCTCATCATCTGTCTTTGTCTCTCCTTCACCTTCTCCTCAGCTCTGCCTTTTTTTCTTTGCTCATTTTTACTTACTCTAATTTCCTTTTTTCCCCCCCTCTCATGTCTCAATTTGCTTTTCATCCATCTCTCACCTCTTTCTTCTCCCACCTCTATTCCTTGACTTACACACTTTTCCCTCAACTTGTCCCACTTGTCCTCTGTCTCTCTTCTTCCTCTCTCTCTTTCTCTTATATTACCCTTTGTGTCTTTCTGTCCATTCTGCTTGCTAGAATGACTTGATGTTTGGCTCCTCTCTAATTGCCTGGGCAGGGTCTGTGGGACGTGATGATTGGAGGATTGCCGTTGTGAGATCACACGCAGTAATAGATCTCACTTAGCCTTCTGAATTTATTCTCTTCAATGAAGCTGAAATAATAATAAGAAGATATACTTTACTAACTTCTTTTTTCACTCATTGTTTACACACACACATGCATGCAAATGTGGAGATATGGTGGAGTGATGGGCTGCCATGTAGTGGTGCACCGGGGGTTAGGGGAGTTAGGGATTTGGTGCCTTGCTCAAGAGCATTTTGACAGCTGATAGGTCTGAGTGGGACCTCAAGGCTAATTGACAATGCTTATATAATGCGTAATTTACTATATTCATAATCATGTCTTTCTCTTACATATAGCTGGAGCTCTCGCTTGAGCATGTGACATTACCTACAGCAGATATCAGGCCAACTATCACAACGTAATCTGCTTTAACATGATTTCTCCTGTGTAGCTTTACAGCTGTGCTACTTTTCCATACTGTATTATCCTCAACTAAAGATGTGATGTTGTGATGAGTGCTCTGACAACTTTGATGAAGGGCAGATTGATAGAATAAAATGGGAATTATTTGTCTGGATCTGAATCTGGGGCTTTATAGGCGCTGGGAGAGCCTTAGGCTGTTTGTGCATGTACTTGAGCTTGGCTATGCCATGTTTCTTTAGGTAAGGGTTGGTGGGTTTACTGGCCTGATGAAAGTAAGAGCGAAGGGACTGCTCTCCCTGCCCCAGTTAAATCGAAGCTGGGAGTCCATGTGAGCAGCGAGCAGACACATGCTATAATGGCACCTCACGCTTCAGATATTTGTTTTGACACACCAGGGTCCTTACTTGAAGTCATGGAACAATTTAGTTCTCCACATTCTCAGTGTAGGCCTATTTGATGAAAGGCAAAGTCAGGCTGTACATTTTTATTGCATCAAATGTGCTCTTAAACTCAAATCTATGAAGTTAAAAGGAGATTGAAATGGTTGGTTATGACACAAATTATTAAAAAGTGACTTTTTATGTTAAGTCCAATATGTGGCCAAAAAAACATACTAAGAAAATATAACCTATCTGGAGTTGTTTAGTCTATTGCACATACTGCTGAGTCTGTGCCTACTTAAAAAAATTGGATGCACTGGCCATGATCTTCCATTTTTAGACTTGCAGCATTGTGCAGCGTGCTGTGGTGTACTGTACTGTAAAAGTAGCAAGTAATAAATAGAAACTGATTACTAAAAGTATTGGATAAAGAGATAGATAACATTATCTAAAATTGATAAATGACTGCCTTAGTTATAGTTGCTAAAAGTAGTGGATAAATGCCTGAAACTTAAGCTTCAGCAAACTTGATCAAACCGACCTAAACAGTTCAGTTACATAAAGAATATTGTAACAAAAGCCAATCATAAATAGTGTTGAAAGATCCTGTTTTGAATTAAATACACACATTTGACAGGTGGTGTTATTGGGTTGGGAAGTACATAGTATAGGCCTACTGTATTCTGTTTGCTGTAGCATCTTAAGAGTTTTCTCTGTGTATTGTGCCCTCTAGTGGTTGCCTGGTGCTCTGTCTGTGCATGTCTGTCTTGACCCTGCTGCTACAGAGCCTCTGGGTGCCGCTTGAGATGACCAGAGATGAACCTGCTGGGAGGTCACCTGAGGAACAAGGTAACATAAACACACACGGACACAAATTATTTAGTTTGTAGTTTTTTTTAACATATTAATCTCCTAACATTAAGCATTGGTTAGGGAAATAGGACAGCAGGAGTATATATTTTGCAGAGATTTACTGTCTTCCCAGTGTTAGATGAAGCTTTGTACACAATTCGCGGTGGGTCCTCCCATGTGTCTGACAGTTGTGGGTTTGTGGCCAAGACATACCCCTGTTCAATTCAATTGTTTGGCTCAACTGTTTCCCTAAAGGAGGCTATTTAAGGGGGCAGTAGACAAGGTTGTTTGGGCAAAAGCTTTCCTCTTGGTTTTCAAGGAAGAGACAAATGTTGTTAACACTCTCCTCCAGAGTATATTTTTCTGTAAAATCAGCATTCTTTCTTTTGCACCCAATGAATACATTAGCATATTCTGGCAGTGTGCCTCTCCCAAACTTCTTGATCTTGGAGCCATTTAAACAACATAAACATCATCAGAAGCACTTTGGAAATAGACTCTGCAAGCTCCAGTCAGGGTTTTAAGTGGTCCAGGTCAGTGGTCTGTTTGTTGCTTTTGTCAGGTATCTTGATGTTGCTGATAATGTTTTATTTTTCATTAGACCACAGATGGGATAAATGACAATCTCATACAGATGCTGATTCATACTGCATTCGATCTTTCGGAAGTTTCTTGATACAAATGAGCTTGATTCACTTTAACATAGCCGCCGTGTGAGGGTTAATAATTAGATAGACAGGTTTAACTTAAGACGGACAATTTTTTGTGAAAGACTTGGATAATGTGGCTACTGATTCTGTTTCAAAAGGTAATCATGAAAGATTACTTTTTATCTAAACATCCCAATCCCCTTTTTCTCATATTCAAGGGAAATAGTTTTTAGCAGACAATGCAACCCACTGGTGCATCTCAGCCACAGAGCCACAATTGCTCTGTGCTTTGAAGGACCCACCACGGGTTGTGTACAAAGAGCTACCCAGCAACGGTTGTACTGGAAAATATACCACATGGGGGAAGCTTTTGGTCAGCGCACGCAGTTAATCCAGCTCAAATTTAACACCAAATCCTTGGTTTTCAATCAGTCTCTGTGAAGAATAATTCATCTGATCAAGTCATTCTATGTTATATTTCATCTTAAAATCAACTTTCCCATCGCTTGCAGTGACATGGGATAATTTAAGTTGCGCCTAATGCAGGTTTTTTTTGCTTTAGAAAAAAAGGATGATATCCAAAAATCACTATTATTCTTATTTTTAAGAATACAAACAGGATAATAGGCAATCACATAACACTGAATTTCCTCATTACATTGGCAGATCTTCTCTATGAAAAACAAATATCTTTGACTGAATCAGTAGACTATTGTTATTTTTTTTTTTTTTTTTATTATGTTATTTTATTACATACACACCTTTACAAGCATTTTTGAATTTTTTGGTCATATAGTTATCTCACAGCTGGCATTAAGTTGTTCTAGGATCCCACCTCTTCTCTCCCGGTCATCTTTCATTGCACCTGTGCCCAAAGGGGCCCTGGGCATGTAAGCACTAGTGCTATGCTGACAGTCAGCTGAGCAAACAGATATGAAGTGACATCACCAGTCTGTGGGATTTTACTGTGTAAAACAGGTTAAAGCTCTATCCCCAAGGAGATCCTTATTCTGACCTCAAATGAACCCTAACTCCACTAGCCTCCCTCCATCTCACAAAATAGAAAAAACACACTGTAAGTACTGTTTCCCAACAACTGTCCCCGAGGTTGGTTAGTCACGCAACTCTTTTAATAGTCCTTCTTGCTTCATACAAATGTTTCAATCAGCACATCTTTGATTTGCCATCTCAAATATCTCTTTTAAGCCTCAGCAGTTGGCTTTTAAAAGAAAAATAGACATTCACTGTTTTTACAGTTATGGGTTAGGGCTAGGATGCTAACAGAGTCCTTTACTGTGAACACCACAACACGTTATACTGGGTGCCCTATCAGAGCAAGTAGTGTGGAGCTTTCATTTAACATTGTTTTTTAAAAACTGTAAACAGTCACGATATATGTACTAAAGTAAAATCTATGTTTTTGACAGTGGGTCTTGTGAAAGTGTAGATACCCATTTTTTTGTTAAGGCAGTGGTTTCCAACTTGGGGGTCAGAACTCCCCAGGGGGTTCCAACATAAATCATATTACGAATACGAAAACTTTTTTGTCCACAATGTGACATTTGGGAGTGAGGAGGCTGAAACCACAAAGCAATGTGACCACAGAGCTCCAGTTACATGGTTGGTAGAAATTATGACTCAGTACCATCTTTATCTGTCATAAAGTTGTCATTAAGGAAAATTCACCTCTGTAAAAATACCATTACTGTACCCCTACATGGAATATGGAAAATACACATAGCCATGCACATACGCATACTGCTGCTTCATGTGCAGCAGATCAGCTTAAGAAAATAGCATTACATTACCCTGCTGCTTTATGATACACAGAACAACATTTCTACAAGATTTGCTATGACATAATAAACATTATTACTACCTAAACATTATGATGGGGGGAGCATATGATACTGTGCATACATGACATACCGTGTTCTATACTCTTTATGTCATAGGTCAGCGTGGACTTGGCTTTCGTAGGCTGGCTCTTCGCTTGGAGGCTTTGAGTACTCAGGTGCAGAGGCTGAGCAGAGAGAGAGACGTCACCCAGCTGACCAGAGAGGATCTCAGTCTGTTACTGCAGAGGTATTCAAAAGCATCTACAGTTCGAGTTCAGCTTATTGTGTTTGTTCATACAGTGTGTTTGCATGCTGGTTTCTGTTCCAGTTTTAGACAGGACCAGCAAGGCTTAGCCCGCTTGGTAGAGAGGGAGCTGAAGAGAGTGTCTCAGAGGCTTGACCAGCTCAGCCGTCACCATCACCATCAATCACACACACCATCACCATACGATGACCTCAGACTACACACAGGTAAAGCCCAGACTTTTATTAGACTGTTATTTTATTACTTTTGGGGGAATTTTGATTTTACCTCTTAATAACCTCCTAATTAATATAATATACTAAGATTTTTAAAAGAAGTGTGAAAAGTGTGAAATCTGAACTTACGACATGATAACCAGCATTATTACCAACCTGATATGAAGGAAACTAAAAGGATAAAAGATCAGATGTCTGTGCCCACTTTTCTCTTGATGGAGAGTTTTGTATATCGCTCTTTAGTTTGGATTTGTCATGTGTACATACCCAAAATTTACAAGGTTTAAATTAGTCTGACGGGGGCCCTATGGTGAGTTTTAGGCTGTACAGACACATGTATGAGTTATTACGTACAAATCTGGCCTGGTTTAGCTTTCATTTTACTATGTACTTTGCTAAAAGCAGTTCATTGTCTCAACTAAAACAGAAATTTTAGGGTTTGTTCCAGTTATAATATGCTTTAACATTCTGGTTACACCAAATAAATACACCCCCTCCTCCCTGCATGTTGCCAGCTTCAATAATTGGCCAATTGCTAGCTTTTCTGTGGTTTACTGCTGTGGTAGTGTGATACCCTGAGCCAAATGCACGGTTCATAGCCTCAATAGAGGTTAACCACACAGTGAAATTAACAAGCTGTGATAATGGAGGGTGTGAATGGGGGGGTTAAAGGGCAGTGAGTGCAGGTGGTTATGGGGGATGAAGTCCTTGAATAGAAGTTTAACAAGTCCCAAAGAGCCAGTGCCGATAAACTGGCCGTGGGGAGGAAAAAAGTTTAGGTCTACACTACGACCCTCCCGAGAGGTGTCAGGTGGGAGTCGGGTTACTCACCCTGGTTGGCACGCGAGGGGTCGTGTGTGTGTGTGTGTGTGTGTGTGTGTGTCTGTGTGGGCAGTAGGGATGAGTGGGTACAAGCTTACCTCCCTTCTTGAAAAAGGGAATTTATAAAGCTTGGGCCACACAGACACCATTACCGTACCATATGTGAGGGGTACACACTTGTCGACACGCACACACATGCAGTATGCATACACATGCCACCCGCATACACACAAACCCACACTTCCCCATCACCAGCTTGTTTGCCCCCTACCCTCTTCCTCTCACATTACCTCACACCCATAAAATACGACAGAATTACCCAGGACCCCTTTCACCAACTTGTCTACTCATACTCTTGTTTTTTTCTTTTTAGCTGCACTCCTATAGCATATCACTGTTTTTAGGCTTTCACACCTTGGCTATGCCTACAGGTTTTCTTATCTTTTTTTCCCCTCTGTTTTCCTTTTTACTAGGTTGTTTTACATAGTTAAGGACTGTGTATTTTGGCCCGGGCCAGCATTGTAAAAGGGTATGTTTGGTAGGAGGCAGGTGCGTCAGGTGTGTGTGTGTGTGTGTGTGTGTGTGTGTGTGTTCATTCCAGTTGATTGACATTGGCTT